ATACAAAAAATGTGGTGACGATGTTTTGTTTAGAAAAGGCCTGATGGAACCATTAAAAAAGTACACACGACGAATTTGCTGAAGTGACCTGTGTGAACACACTGAAATATATCTGGGTACATACGGGTGTGTCTTGTGGCTTTAGGCAGATGTTTGAACAATTTTAGGTTATTTTCATGTTACCTTTTAGTATATTTCGGATTGTTTAAAAATTAGAATGTTATGCTTACAGTTAGCAAATAAAGGTTAAATTTTCCATTGTGTTATTTCTATAAACAAATGTGATGTATTCCTGCAAATCTTTCCTTCTGTTTACATCAGTTTTATAGTCTATTAGCGAATATCTAATGACAACGTTTTGTGCAAAATATTTGCTAATAGTTGCAAATAGCTTTTTGTTACCACGTTAGCTCATAACAACGGAAGAGAACTGGATAAAATTTCGAGACTACCTCTTAAGTTGCGGTCTGAATATGCCTGCGACCCTGTTCGCGCGGAATAAAAAAAATTGTAGCCTATGCGTCTTTCCTGACTATGTTCTATATGTATGCCAAATTTCGTCTAGATCCATTCAGCCGTTCTGGAGATACCATCAAACAAACGTCGATCCATTCAAACATTCGCATTTATAATATTAGTAAAGTAATATTTGCGTTCATGAAATCGCAGGCGATAGCTAGTAGTAACAAAAGAGTTTTAGATTTGAATTTCTGATATGAATAAGGACATTTAGAATTCCATGAGCATTTACAAGTCAAAATCATAAACATGTACCAACAAGCTGTGAACATATTGAATAGTTCCCGCACGTGGAGTCACTCGCACGATCCAATAATAACCGTATCAATTTTCGCGACACGTGACGTTTTCAATCCTGTACGTATTCCACGGTGTCCTTATAAGTGTCCGAGTTGCCTTGTAAATCTTTACATCGATGTTGCTATTGACAATACAATGAACTCGTTTAGACTACTAAGGAAGACAAAGAAACCGCATGACTTTAAAAACTTCCTTAGTACATGAAAATATTTACTTGAACATTGAGGCGCTAATTCCTCACATTGAGGAATATTCCAACTTGTGGAATATTAAGAGAATTAACTGGTAAGATTAGTTGTATGCTTTTCGTCAAATTAATTTATTTTTTATAGCAATTGAATACGAAACGAAATACGAACTCTCTTAACCAATGGTTATTTTGAAGGTACTAAAAGGTGAGGAAGGAATGTATTACTCATATTAAAATTATAGTATGTACTATAGCTAGTTCAGATTTAATGCCGTGTATCTAGGTTGTTAGATTAACTTGTAGGCAAATTAAATATTTCCTAATATCTTGACAGATTATTTTTCAAGGCTTTCAAGAAATCTACATATTTGTTTGACTATATAGATATTTTCTTTATATGACATGTTTTATAATTTTGTCTTGTAGTGCAAACATATCAAGACAAGTCCCTGTATTGTCTGTATCACCTGTTTGTATTCATACTTGCAAATTGGTGTTGAGAATGTCATCGCTGCGACGTGGAACGATTCTCAAAGGATTACTCGGAGTGTTGAAGGCTATGAGTTGATCATAGAATTATCATATTCTGAAACAGATATACTGGAAGGTAATTCTGCTAGGGTCAATGTCAACTGACATAGCAAGGTACATTTATAACAAGCAACCGATAAAATGAAACAAACTTTTTAGAAACATTATGATGTGTTGCCATGGTAACAGTATAAGGTGCTTGAGTTAGTCCCTCGGGCAGAAGAATATTGTTCCCGACGTTTTAAATAAAATGACAGGTTCTATAAAATGAGATCCAACGACAAACAGTAACGAGATCGGCACTGAACTATTAATCATAATTAATTTTAACATCTCACAGTCGTGTATCTTTATTGGTCCTTTATTAATATCAGATTAAATAATCCAGCGCATAAGGCTATATGACACCTGTCAAATACGAGCTGATATATCAGGTGTAACGAATCAGTAAATGGGGTTAATGAGTCGTAGCAAGGAAATCAAGATTCGTGACTTTTTATAGCAAGTCATTGCTACATTACGATGGATATGGATATATTAGTTATTATAGATGACTAACTATATGATCGACTAAAATTAGGAACTATTGAGAGACTGGAAAATATATCAAAATATCTTTCTTTCATTTGACTGCATTTTATCTTAACTTTTGGCATTTTATTTCATGGTTTGTCTAAAAGTATTCTGCTGAATGCTTAGGTCCTGATATTTGATAAGTAAAAATATGTTGTGCAAAACCTAACAAGCTCTATTCGTTCATAATTCTGTCCAAAAATGTGATTTTTTAATCGCCTCTTATGTTTATGTAATTTAAGACGTATTCACTACTTGTCATTTCTGATTAAAGCAATATATTTGTACAATGAACTGGCGTAATTTATAACGTGTGAGCGACTCAACGAACATTTAACTCTAATCTTGAGACTTGTCTGGATCTGTTATGTAAGTAATAGGGGTGTTCCCGTGGACCGTGACTCCCCATTAATGCCAAGGCCGAGCCTCGCAGGTGAAGCTTCGGGCATTGTAAAAGATGCTTATTCATGTATTCCCATTATCATTCCCATTTGCATTTCCTAAACTATTTACTTTTACCGAAGAGTTTTTAATATACTTCTTGCTATGTTTTGAGTTACTTATTGATTTTTTAAATCAGTCCAGTAGTTGATTAACTTATCGGGAACACGTAAAGTATTTTGTTTTAATAATATTTATTATCATAAAATTATGTCTGTACGCCTTTTCCTCTATTATTCATTGTGCATTCAAATTTAAAATAGTAATTAAATGATGAAAGATTCGATAGCTCGAGGGTGTAAAACAGTTGACCAGGTTGTTTTAAACGAAAAAGCCTGTAAATGTACTGTATTGAAGCGTGAGAAAAATGCTCTGCATACCTTTCTACAATCAGAAGTTTTTGTTTATTATAAAGATACTTCTTTGAACGTTGATGTATGAAGAGATTATTGTAAATAGATCGACATAATCATTTTGAAGTTAAATTTATTTGTATTGTGATACTGTAAAATTAAAGTTAATCGTCGAATTGCTATGGATTCTTGGCACATGTCTGCTGTAGCGGAAAACGGTTCATAATAACTGTGATTAAATATAAAGCGGCCCGAACGACGTTAAATGTTAATTAATTGGCAATTGTCGTTGCTTCAAGAACACACTGGTACATATAAAATTTCTGGGAAATATTGATTTAACTATTCAAATAATTCAAGGATCAGTAAGTTTGAATATTTTGTATGTTGCTTCGATATTAACATAAAGTTAATATATTCTAACAAGGGTATTTGAGTTGGTAAGAGAGGAGCTACTGTCGCGGTCAGTTCTACCAGAAAATATTTAAAACCTTTATGTTTATTACGTATTTGGGTACGTATTAAATGCATTTGACAATCTGGGATATATTTTTGTCAACGACCAAGACCTGACTTGAAACATTCCTTGCTTTAAGAAGCTATTTTTCCGAGTGGTCTTAATAAAATTTTAATTAATGTATTGTTTAATACTAATCCTATAAATCTGTGTTAATTTGGCTCATAAAAAGTCAATTTCTTTTTGTTCAGGTAAATGCGTATATTCAATTAGCAAATATGCTTCGTAGTCTTTCATTTCGAAGTTAATTAGTCCCCTCGGTATTCGGGAAAAAGGTATTCATATAAATTGGTAGTGATCGTATCGCTCAAATATAAAGAGGGAGCAAACATTGAAAGTGACGGATTTATTTTTTCATTTTTAATGCAAGAGAAATTCAGCGTAGTCAGTCTACGTGACCTAAATCTTTTTTCCATTCCGATTTGTTCACTTATAAAAATCCTAGCAAAGTAGCCAAAAGTATTTAACCAAGAAGGTTTTAGATGCTACGGTCACATTCATCATCATCAGCTCGGAGCCTACCCTAAGTCAGAGGTGACTATGCCATAGTCAACTACGCTGACCAAGTGCGGATTGGTTGACATCACACATATCGTTGAATTTCTTCTAAGATATGTGCAGGTTGCATCACGATGTTTTCCGTCGCCGTAAGAACGTCGGATAAATGTACATATGTAAATCGGAAATCGAAAAACACATCGGTACATGGCGGGATTCGAACCTTCGACCTGCAGATTGCAAGTCAAGTGGTTGACACCTGAGCCACCGACGGTCTCGGTCACATTGTAAACAGATAACTCGATTGTTTTTTATAAAATAATTATCAAATTAATACTCATAATGTTAGTATTTTACAGATATTATGATAAGGTTTTCAAAGTTGATAAAAATGATTGTCTTTGATAATCATATTTACCATAATTGTGATAATATAAAGATTGGTAAAACTGCGATATTATTATATGTTATTGAAGAAAACTATTATAGAACTGTGGTTACTAAGTATATAATATACAAAGAATATTACTTTTAAATGGACAAATAGTCACAGGGTAAACGTAGACTGATGTTATACCATCTTGTTTGTTTTAGACAATGTTATTTAAATACATCTTTAAACATACGTCACTCTTGACACATATTACGAAGAATGATTTTAGAAGTAAAATAAATCACAGTATTATTTTAAAGAACGATGAAATACGATCATTTCTTGCAATCAACCTTTTCTCTTATCATTTGTTAAGTATAAAATGTCTCCTGGCCGCGCAATAAACATACGAAACGACTGGTCTATTTAAATGCTTAGATATAAACATGTTTACAGTTGCAAATACTCGACTGATACATTTCTCGCGGTCAAATCACTTGATGCCGTCTCTTTTGTGTGCACTCAGCCGGTCGTCGTCCGTCTCGTTTGTATCCGATATTAGATTGTGGTCGTTCAATTTCTTTTTTCTTCCTATTTTAGTATACTATTTCCATTTACACTTCACTCGGAAATTTCATACTTAAATCTAACTTAGAAAGTACTTGATTAATAAATTTCATAATTAATTTTCAGTTTATTACTAACCGTCTCCGAAAACGCGCTCTTGGGTCTTCTAGCGGGAGTTCCATTCATCTTGTTCACTTTCAGCACAAGAAAATTATCAAAACAAATTCAGCCAATCGGATCGCAAGAAACTTTTTCACGGACACTTGTAGAGTTCACTGTCAAACTTTAACATGCGTGCAGCACCACAAGTTCACTCTGAATCCTGGTAGAAGGAACATTTGTTGGATAGTTTATATTGGCGAGCGTCGGTTAGCGTGAGCAAGGAGCGCTGTATCGCGGCGGCACTTAATTTAATCGATGACTTCATGCAATTATTTGTTGATAAGTTATCGAGTGGCGGGTACCGTGTAGCGAGCGACGAGGCGGTGAGGCGTACGCGGGGCGACGGGCGATGGACCAGCGCCGCGGCGGGACTGTGACTGGCTCAGCCGCGTCGCTTCGCCTCCGCGCGCTCCAAGCCTCGCGCCATGCCTGCATTTTTTTCACGTCGGACAATAGACGTGTATTTAGAGGTTATGTTTTGTACGCCGCGCCGCCACCGGTCCCTTCCCGTATCGGTCGACGACTAGATATGCAATTTAAAACGTATTAAACCTTTTTTTGGTAAACTTTTTATACCAATAGATTTTGATGTTACCAGTTTTAAGATATCGTTTCGTCTTTAAAAGGCTTCGATATCTATTTACAAATCATTGTTGTGAAAGTTTTATGTTTCGCGCTAAGTTCTGTATATGTCTGTGCCTAAGATTGTTCAATCGTACTTAAGTGCTGTTTAAGTTGCTTCACATTTACGTACGATCACGCAGTTTGGATAATTTAAGAAATTTTATTAAATGTAACTTAATTCTTGAGGCGTTGCGGATATTCATAGGTATCTTTGATCACATCGGTGTTCCCGCTGCTCGTTTGTCCCTTCGTGTTGAACTATTGGATTTAATAAGTATCACTTTCTTTTTTCATATTTTACTATTAATTGTTTTTATAACAGTTTAGTTGACTTACAAAATTTATCTAAGCTTTACATCAAAGTTGCGATGTTTTCTCCACTTTATTGGCTCGTAAAGCAATCGAACGACGGAGCAGGTGAAAGTGTCGGGACTGCGTAGTGAACGAAAGCCTCTCGATTGCTTTCGGAACTTGAAACACCTAGCATATCTTTTAACATTTCACTATATAAAAATAGAAATTTAATTCAAAAAGTTTCAGTTTCTTGAATTTCGACAAAATTAAGCCAACATTCATCCATCCATACATTCGCAATTATATTATTAGTTAGAAGTAAGTTGAAATAATTTATTAAGTGATCGCTTTTAAAGTATTTAAGCGCATCAAGTAAGAAATCAACACTTGAATAGATTAATGCTTATGACGCAAAACTGTAATCTAAATGCATATTTTAGCATCGCTAAGTTTCCTTTTATCTTTCATAGGATTTGTGATTTAATTAAAAAATAATATTACGAGTAACAACGCCTCGAAGTGTTCTATATTTAAATACTCGGAGGGTTAGTAGAGAGAGAAATTAATAATGAGTAAATCACGTCTGAATAAAATTCTTATAAAATAGTTGAAATCCTATACAAATATATGTGAATAACAGTGAAATAATGCGAATGTTTGGATTTATGGAGGGATGGATGTAGTTGTCTCCAGAATGGCTGCATTAATCACCCTGATATTTGGCATAGATGTAAAACATAGTATGGCTGGAACATAATACACAGACTACTAATAAGGTTTTTTGATGCAGCATGTAATATGTATTGCTGATGTTCGATGCTATCTAATAATCGTGGTTAAATAGTTAGTTTACAGATGCGTTACCAATGTTGTTAATGTTGTTTCTGAGAGGCGATGTCGATTGCCCCTTGACTTTCAACTCAAAAAAAAATCTGTTCAAAAACTCTCCTTTTTTTCTTCTTCCTTTCAAAGAAAAAGTAAGACGATACTTCGTACGGGAAGTCGGTAATCGAAGCATTATGATATCCACCATCCTTTCGTTGATCCGTCTCTTACAGCAGACTAGCGTTATTTATAGACTATTTATTAGAATATTTCGCTGAAATACCGTAAAGATATTTATTAGATGTACACTAATGTTGATTTGCTAAAGTATATCCAGTTGAATGATTCACATGAAAGTTGTTTACGTTGTATGAGACCGGTCACTAGGGGACAGGCGGCAGGCGAGGGTCTCGCTGCGCCCGCGTCGATGACGTCACTCGCTCTTTTATCTTTTAGATAAAGAACCGCAATTATGTTGACCTCCAGTGATATTAAGGAGCCTTGTTTATAGCGCTTATCGCGACGACATGGTCACAACACATTTGTACTCGCGAAAACATACGACACAGTTGAGTATACAGTGTAGTCAAGGAATTAAATTAGCTTCCCATATATGTTTGAATATTTTACAGCAAACTGTCACCGTAACAGGCATACAATTTACAACCTTGGTATTATTTCAGCCTAGTTGAATTGGAAGCATGAAAATAACATTTAGGCAAAATGGGTAGGAAATTAATGTCCTCGACTGTACACCGCGACATTATTGACTTCCGTTGATTTTTTTATTATAATCGATAAAACTGCGTCGACTAGTAATCTTAATTAGTGTAGTAGTAATTGTATGTATTGCGTTAGCTTCATAGTCTAGAAAAAGCGTATCATTTTCCTATTGTTTCCACTAACGTTTTATAATCGTGTACTTGTAACTATCTAGGATATTTAACAATACTATTATACATACACGTTCAGCAAATAGCAACGATAAATGTACTGCACCAACTTTCACCGCGAACCCGACCGAGCGACTCGGCGACTAGTTCCTGTCTTAGATGTCTAGATTTTTGCCGGCGAAGCGACGGAAATATATAGCTACATTAAGGTGCGATTTCACTAGATCTAGATGGTAATTTATAATGAGTTTATACTGTAGTAGTATGCTTATTAGGTGTCGTCCGTGACTCCGTCTATACAGATTAAAAAAAACAATTAGTAGCATATGCATTCTTCCAAACTATGTTGTACATTTATGCCAACTTTCAACGACATCGATGCACGCGTTCTAGAGATACATTCTTACAAACATCCATCCATCCATAAATCAAAATATTCGCATTTATGCTTATATTTATAACATGTAATAATTTGTTTTATGTCAAAAAAATAATTTAATTACTCTTTGTCCAGTTTATTCCGTTTCACTTTAATTTTTCGTTTTTCTCAGTACAAGCTTTGTCTATCGACATCACACCTTTCCTTTGAACATTTAGTTGAGCGAGTGCAGTTGTTTGTTCGCCCCCTTGCCCCCTTGCCCCTTTGCCCCCGCGAGCCACCGCCGAGGGCAGCTGTCACTTCTAATGAAGGAATTTGGCAAACAACTCGACGTATTGCAACTGCAAACTCTATTTGCTGTAAAAGTGTCCAAACAACAAGTTCTATTTCATTAACCGGGACATTTCAAAGCTGTGCAGCTTACTGTGAATTTTCCGAATTACATTGTTGCAGATTTGTTAAAATAATACAAAGAGAACAAAGTATTTAGTTAATTAAAAAATAATAAACCCGACTCCTTCATCCTACCTAATTTAGTGTGTCGTATCCTGGTAATTCTTTTTCTTAAGACCTCTCTTAGTTACCTCTAACTATATTCGTAATGAAATAAGTGATTGGCGATTTACAATTGCAAAAATTACAGATCAAAGTTTTGCTTAGATCCAGGCATTCTTTGATGTTACTAACAGGGTCATATTCAAGATAAAGTCTAGGCTCTAGGCAATGTGAGCTTATTTCTCGCCAATAGTTGCAACGCCTCTGCGCTTCATTTTGTTAAAAGCTCGGAACAGCAGCCATCGCAAACACATTTCAGTGTAAATCGCTTCCGCCGCCGTCCGACGCCTCTTTTGTGTACTTTGCATTCAATTGTGTTTATTTTTAGTGACGATTTCTAATGCCTATTTTGAATCACTCACCTTTGGTTTCTGAGACAATAATTCCCGTTTAAAACATTTCATTTTTAACAAAACACTGATAACAATTTGTTTTATACAATGATGTTGGTTTCAGAAACTTATTGCCAATTTACATTTATCTAAATTGTCCTACATTAAAAGCGAAAGTTTAATTTTATAATTAGTGTATTAATTATAAAATTAAACTTTCGCGTCATATACGATGTTTTATGTCTCTTCATATTTACATTTTTATGATGTGTAGAGTGGCTCTTATTTATATTTACAATATTTTTTTGTTGAAGTATGATGACGTAATTCTTAATTTACTTTTTAATGCCTTTGCATTAAATACAACTTAAATTTTGTTTAGTATTTTCTTCAAAGTAATACTGTTAAAATAACTAGACCCTAAAAACTTGTAAGCAATTATGAAACCATTGCCTCTTCTTCGTTTTCTGTAAAAGGTAAAAACAATAACATGAAACGTATAAAAATAAACGGTACAAACGTCCGAAAGCAAACAACATTCATACAAAATTGCAGAACATAAAAGCGAAGTTCTTAAAGCACTTGTACCACGCCGGAACGTTTAGCTGCATTTCTTATGAACAAACTGGTCGTTATTTAAATATTCAGAAATTTATCCTAAAATATCGGCAATAAACGTTTTATCTTCAAATAAGAAGCCGAACAAACTTTATTTACGGCAATAAAGTTTCCACGGATACTGCATTCGGTGCTTCTGAGTGAAAGAGAGCTTTTGCATGAAAGTTTAAATTGTCTTATCGAAGTATTATTCAGCCTAAATAAGAATAAATTAAAATTTCTAAATACACTTTTTATTTAATATTGAACACAAGCGATGTAATAATTTGTTATAACTTATTATATGAAGAAATTAAGTTTTCTCCAAGAATATTTCAATGTAAATCATTTAATTTATTTTGTTTAAACTATTATAGAAAAATTAATTATAAAGACAACTTTGCTATTAGTATTTAAGAATTAAGTAAAGTACAAGTTACTTAAGTGAAGCCTGCACAGATTATTGTTAGCAAAGTGCAGGTTTGTGTAATCCTATTCTAGTCTGTGTACACCTAATGTTTTTTTTTCTTCAACTTAACCTGAGAGGATTTAAAATACTAAAATTATAAAAAACAAATATTATTTATCTTTTTATTTTCTTATATTAGGCATCACGATGCAAACCATGTGAAGTGAACCAACCCGCAGTGGGCCAGTGGTTGACTATGGCCAAATGACTTGAGAAAGCTTTGAGTTCGTCAGTGGGGAGCAATATATAAGCTGAAGATTGTCTTACTGTGAGCATCCACTCCCAGAATTACGAAACATTTTATTATAGTGTCAGTGGAAACCATCACGTAACAAAAGGTTACGCGTTTCTATTAATAGTCGATAAGAAAAACAATGATATAGTTAATTCATTATACCATAACGTCATATT